GATTGGTTAAGAGTAGATAATGCACAAAGTTCGATTGGTTAAGAGTAGATAATGCACAAAGTTCGATTGGTTAAGAGTAGATAATGCACAAAGTTCGATTGGTTAAGAGTAGATAATGATAGATCCCATCGATCCGATCTTGCGAAGAATTGGGAGTGCGTGTCGCTTGACTTGCACGTGTTCGGTGGAGAATTGGTGCAGTGCCCCGCCTGGGGTGAAATCGAAAAACCGGCGCGGGCTCCGATGGTAACAGGTGTCCGAAACGAAGACACTGAATGCCGGAGGGGGAAGCCCCGGCATTCATTCAAGGAGTGGAACTGGACTCTCCAAACGATTCTTCTTTTGAGAGCAGCGGTGGTGAACAGTTCGACGATTAAACATGGTATTGACCCTAGCACTCCAGTTGTACCTCCTCAGGTTCGGTATGACTGGACCCTCCTGGCACCTGGGCCCCCAGTCCCACCTTCTCAGAAGGTACGACTGGAGCCCTAGGGCATGGTATTGAGTATTCCCGTACACTCCGTGTATGCCTATATGCCTACATTGAACCCCAAAAGCACCCCAATGTAGGCATATATATATGGCATACATGGAGTGTCTGGGATTGACCATCCAAGAACCATCCGAACGACGAGACTTCAGTGCCACTGGGCCTGGGCGGGTGGGCCACTGGCAGTCGCCGCTTGTAAAGAAGCACCAGGAGATGTGGCATGGTTAAAGTTATAGCAATTATGGAAGTGGAAATGCAGTAAATATATCAACCCAACAGAACATAAACGAACATGTAATCTATCGCAAATTTACAATGGCCGCGGCCCTTCAAGTTAACTTCTCAAAAGACATGTTCAACACCCTTAGCTTCAACCCAAACTCGGCCATTTTCGTTACATCTAACATCATTTGACCTCCTTCTCCACTGTTTTGACCCCTACAGTTCTGTCGCCCCGTTCGGGGCAGGGGGGTCTAGGCGCCTAGACCGACCGCCTAGCCCAGGTCGCCTTCCATCGATGAAAGCTCCCCTGCGGAAGTCTGGAACGTGAAGGAAGAGAAGGAAGCAGTGGAAGCGCCGGTCGCTGGGCATCTGTTCATGCGATCGAGGTGAAGGGGACTTCCACCTTCCGAACAAATGCCGCCTTCCCGCCATGTCAAGGAGAAACCTGTTGACTCGACACCCACCGAACGAGTCGGTTTCATGGCGCGCGAAATGAACTGCCCAAGAGCATTTGGAGTGCTCAGTCCTTTACTTTGATGGATCACCACGAGCTTCTAAGTGACCACTTTATAGTCTGTAAGTGACCTCTTAGGGGCCTAAGTGACCTCATCCGATATCAAGTTCGATCCCTTTGATCCTAGCTCCGTCCTCTCAAAGCCGATTCTTCCGCTCTCGCAACCCCTTCGCGCTCCGCGCCGAGGAAGAGAGTCGCCCGCGCAGCTTGGCGACGCGGATGTCCACCTTCAACTTCTCCATCATCCGCGCGACCAAGACGACAAGGTCCAAGCCCTCAGAGAACAAGAAGAAGCCCCGAAGCTCGGGTAGACCACGATCGAACGCAGTGAACGCAGTCCGAGGGAGTGGTTGGTTCACCGGAGTGGTGAGGTATAGAAAAACCGACCAACAGAGCCACACTGGTGAGGTATAGAAAAACGACAAACGCCAATCATGGTGGTATAGAGCGAATTTGATTCATTGTTTCAGTGGGTCAAAACAAGGTGTCTGAATCTATTTGGACCAACAACATCCAACAACCATGTAATTATGCAGAACCTGGTTGTGCTCGTTGTGTCAGAAACAATCAGCATCAGAGGCTGAGAGCTTTAAAGTTCCTCAAGACTGATGTCCACAGACACTCCATGCCATTGGGACTGCCAGGGGTCAATGCATAGATACACACATTATATATTTATATATGGATACCACAGCCTTCCAACAGGTGGTTTTTGGACACCCCTTAACCTCTAAGATCCAAACTAGATAGATGCCCTGAATACCGGATTTTCCCGGTTTCGGTCCTGTCGATTCACCGAAAGAGTGGTAGGGTGATTGACTCCATGGTGGGAAAAATGAGTGGGACATGGAATGGGACCGTATGACTGCTGATCAGGTGGTTGACCTGGAGGTTGACCAGAAGCATTTTCATGCCTGGAGTTTTTTGGGAATGAATTGAACGTTTGGAGATACTGATAAAATGGGTGATGTGGTCAGTTCTTATATACTGTATGTGTGGTCTCCCTGGACCCTTCAAAGTACCAGAAAAGGGAACATGACCCCCATCCAAAAAGCAGGTCCTTGTATACCGCCATTAATGCCCATGTTCTTTCAGTACGAGTTCCGGGTCGACTCGAGGTCCACTCTGACTCACTAACATGGAAGTGGAACATGGCCCCTTGGAAGACTCCTTTCCTTTACAAACAGGGGGTGTTCTACTTCCATGTTTGCGAGTCGCCCTAGCCTTCAAAGACCATTAAAAGAATGGTTGACCTGGTTTTGTAGTAAAATCCTTACTTGTAGTAAACCAAGGGTGCTTCGGGTTCAGGCCCAGGTTCAGCCTGTTAAAATAATGGTGCGCCAGGAAGCCGTGTTTGTCGGAGTGTAGATATTTTTTGTCCTCGATCTCCTGAACAAACTCGCGCCTCAGGATATGTGATCAATCCACAGAGCAACTACTATGCGTATTGGCAGCTGCTCACGACGATTGCCCTTGTCTTCGTGGTGATTGTAGTGCCATATCAGGTGCGGTGGAAGATTGGGTGTCCAGGACATGGTTGGGCTCCTCTGCCAACTATAAAGCACAACCAATTCCTCAATCAGGTACATTATATAAATAGTTAGCCATTCATCCAAGGGGGTTGATTACAAACAGGTGCCCAAAATGGTTCTGAACATGCACCAAAATCTATATTGAATATATACAGTTCGTACATGTTGGAGTCATGACCCGCCAGCGTTTTCTACGCCGACAGCTAGACCGCCTGCCGACAGCCGAGTATTAGGACGGTCAAACGGTCAAACACCCAGACGCTCCGTGAACGAGGGCCGGACCGTGTCCCCTCCAAACCCTAATAGGTCCGGACCCCC